TGGCACAAGAGAAGCGAGCACTCCGTAAAGCCAGAGCTGCAAATGCTGAAGCAACAGTGTCCACATTTCTCTGTTCAGTATGTGGCAGAACATTCCGTGCTAACATCGGTCTCATCAGCCATCTACGGACACACCGCTGATGGCCCATAATCCATAAGATGTCAAGGTCTTCATCGAAATCGATGGACGAACAACAACAAACAATAAGTAAATATAAATAAAATAAACGATTACCATGAGGGAAGATTTTCACATTACTGCAGTACCAAAACAAGGTGGTAGTCCCTGCCCCTACTCCTTACAGAAATCTTACATTTATCAACCTGCCTGAATTTCTAGGAAGCAAGTGAGAGGGTTAACTGAGAATGTTTGAAAACTCTTTCCTCTTCAACAGCCTGTTTGGTTTCGGTAATTGCTGATGAAAAAAAGAAAAGTCCTTCCTGTGCAAAACCGTGGAAGCCAAGAGGCTGGCAGAATGACAAGTCGTTTTCACTCCTCTTCTCCAATTGATTTGGTAGAAATTTATTTTTTTGTTAATGCCCAAGAGAGTAGGCAGGCTGTAAAGCATGGAACTTCCGCTCACTATCAGTTAAAAAAATAAAAGTAAGACACACCCTTTGTAATAAACATTTTAATAGCCAATTATGCACACAACCTACCGGTATATTGCAAATGTAAAAGAGGAAGAGAATAAAAACTGGCCAAAGAATATAAATGTAAAAAATAAACAAACAAGAAAAGAAAAGGGAAGAAAGTTTTCACCAATGTCCATCCTATGAAGCACTGTTTCTCGCATGAAGAACTTTGGGCACAACTGCAAGTAGTCCTTGACTTATGACCATAATGGAGCCTGCCGAATAGAGTGGTAAGTCGTGGTGGGTCATCACCTGATTTTATGACCTTTTTTTGCAGTGGTTGTTAAGTGAATCCACAGTTCACTATTAGGTGTTTTTGCCGAAAACTGCAAACGGCTGTAAATGCAGGCCTGTTGCTGAGCATCCAAAATGTGGTCATGTGATCGAGGGAGGATAAGCCGATCATTGGAACTATGAAACTGGGCCATAAGTATCTTTTGGGGGGGTTCATGGATAACTCCATATTGTCAGTAAGCAACCAGTCATCAGTAATTATCTTGTAATTAGCCACTTGCCTGTTTTGTCAAGGCAAATACCTCAACTCAGTGTTTCTCAACCTCAGCAGCTTGAAGATCTATGGATTTCAACTTCCAGAATTCCCTGCAGGCTGGCTAGGGCAGGAGTCTTCAAACCTGGCCCTTTTATGACTTGTGGACTTCAACTCCCAGAATTCCTCAGCCAGGCACGCTGGGTATTCTGGGAATTGATGTCCACACATCTTCAAACTCTCCATGTTTGAGAAACACTACTGTAACTGATTATATTGTAGCTAGCACACACACAGCGAAAAGGTAGATTAAGAAAATCTTTCTAAATTTATGGAAAAGAGCTGCCAAATTGCAAAGCACATTTATGTCATTACTCTTCAAAAGAATCCAAAAAAGTTTTAGCTCCATTTTTTTTCACTAGCTACCCAGCTATGTGATACTAGGACTAGGGCAGTGACCTGAAAAAAAAAGCAATTTTCATACTAGTTTATAGAACTTTTGAATTCTTTGCCTGGAGGCAATTTTACATTCTCCATAGCTGAGCAAACAAAATGTGATTTTCAATCTTTAGCCCAGCTACAAGAACCAGCTTCATATCTGCTTTGGAAAATGATTGTATGATGCAAGATGGGATTACAGATAGTCCTCCTTTAGCGAGCACAACTGGAATCAGCAATTCAGTTGGCAAGTGAAATGGTCACTAAGTGAAACCACAAGTGTGCTCATGATTTTACCTCAGTTTTCCTTTGCTTTACAAATCTGTAAAGGTCCTATTTTCATCACTATTGTAACTGCAAACAGACACTAAATGAGACTATCCCTAACAAGGACTGTACTGTACTCTCCTTTTACTTCAATTTCCATGGTGACCAGAATTATACACATTGAAACTAGCAATTAGAAGAGAGGCGGGAATGGAGCAGAACAAGGAGAATGTGTTCTGCACTATTAGGCTTAGCTAACACACCTCAGAAAATGCAAATACCTCATCTAATGCCAGATTAAACCAGAGACTGTCATGGACTGTTGCCCAGGAATGATTTTCAGAAGAGTTCCAGGAAATATTATGAGCAAATGTGTGCTAAGAGATCTAATCTTCAACCGTGCATTCTCATGAGAATAGAGTGGGATGACAATGGAGAATGGAGAGGGAAGGAGGAGAGTTGTTGATATCAATGGCCCACCTTCCGTGCACCTCTAAATCAGGGCTTTTCAACCTTTTCACCGATTGTACCACTTTTAGAATATGGCAACATTCGAGTACCACCAGTCACCCAGCAAGGTGTCAAAAGCTTGATGACAAAAAAAAAGGAAAAAAGTGATAAAGTACAGGTAGTCCTCAACTTACAACAGTTTGCTTGGTGACTGTTCAAAGTTACAACGGCACTGGAAAAAGTGACTTATGACCATTTTTCACACTTATGACCATTGCAGCATCCCCAGGGTCATGTGATTTACATTCGGATGCTTGGCAACTGATTCTTATTTATGATGGTCACATTGTTCCAGGGTCATGTGATCACCTTTTGCAACCTTGTGACAAGCAAAGTTAGTGGGGAAACCAGATTCACTGAACAACCATGTTACTAATTTAATCTCTCTCCTTCTTTCTTTCTCTCTCTCCCTCTCTTTCTTTCTCTCTCCCTCTCTTTCTTTCTCTCTCCCTTTCTCTTTCCCTCTCTCCCTTTCTTTCTTTCTCCCTCCCTGTCTCTTTCTCTCTCTTTCTCTCCCTGTCTCCTTCTTTTTCTCTCTCCCTCTCTCCCTTTCTCTCTCCCTCTTTCTCTCTCTCCCTCCTTCTTTCTCTCTCTCTCCCTCTGTCTCCCTCTTTCTCCCTCTCCTCTTTCTCGCTCTCCCTCTCTCTTTCTCTCTCTCCCTCTCTCTATTTCTCTTTCCCTCTTTCTCTCCCTCTCTCTATTTCTCTCTCCCTTTCAAAGATCCTTAAAATTCTTAAAAGTTATGCTTGGGCGGAAGACTTTTTCTTTTACAGATGGGGCAGGTGGGCCCGACATTCGCGGGCAGGCACGACCCCGCCCGCCAAGTCGCCGCCTCCCCATCGCCCTCCACGCCAGCCGGCTCCGTCGCCAGACCTCCAAGCAAGTTCGGAGGATCGCCAGCTGACGGACGCAGGAGTTCGACGCTGCGGCGGCCTTCCCTTCGCCCTCCGCACCTGCCAAAGCGTTGCCTGACGTTCCAGCTGACGGGCGCAAGTCCGGGGGTCGCCAACTGATGGGCGCAGGAGGTAGGCGCCGCGGCGGCCTCCCAGCCGCCTGCTTCTTCGGCTGGAGCAGTTGCCAGGGCTTGCATGGTCTCCAAGGGCCACTGACGTGCTCCCTGCCGCCGGCGACCATGCAAGCCCTGGCAACTGCTCCAGCCGAAGAAGCAGGTGGCTGGGAGGCTGCCGTGGCGCCTACCTCCTGCGCCCGTCAGCTGGCGACCCCCGGACCTGCGCCCGTCAGCTGGAACGTCAGGCAACGCTTTGGCCGGTGCGGAGGGCGAAGGGGAGGCCACCGCAGCGCCAAACTCTTGCGCCTGTCAGCTGGGAGGTCTAGCGACGGAGCCGGCTGGCATGGAGAGCGATGGGGAGGCGTCGGCTCGGCGGGCAGGGTCCTGCCTGCCCATGAATGTCAGGCCCATTCGCCCCATCTGTAAAAGAAAAGGTCTTCCGCCCAAGCATAACGCCAGCAGTTCTGTGCCACGAAGGCGCGGGACGCGGAGCGGTGCTGTGGGAGGCGGCAGGACGGGGGAGGGGTTACCTATATCCTGCCAGCCAAATTCTGGAAGCCTGCCTGAATGAAGAATTTTAGAGGGTGTTGAAAGCGAGACAGACTGAGGGCTGTATTAAGACCATAGATGGCTGCGTAAGGAGAGTGGAAGGGAGGCGAATTCGGGGTGGAGCAGAAAACACGGGGGGGGGGAAGGCATTAGGAAATAAGCACCAAGGTACATGGTGCCTTGCAAGGGATTCCCGAGTGTTCCGCAATTGTTTTTCCTCTCTCCTCTGCCCAAGAAAAACTTTTGCGGCGTAAATCTGAAATGAGTCCCGGGCGGAAGGGCGGGGCCTAGCTTTGCGCCTGCGCTCTTCACAGGTCTCCTGCAGGGCACATTCGGTAAAGTTCATGCAGGCTGCCGCCAAGCAGCATATTTTCCAAAAACAAGTGAGGTGGGAAGGAGCGGAGGGGGGGAGGAAGGCGATGCCACGGGGGGGGGGAGGAAGGCGACGCCGCGTACCACCAGCCAGGTGGTCGCGTACCACAAGTGGTACGCGTACCACCAGTTGACAAGCCCTGCTCTAAATATCTAAAATAGCAGGCAAAGAAGATATTTGAACAGCATTGTTCTATTTCAGTTGCTCTGCCTGATTTAATAGGAAAGGATTAAATATTTGGAGTAAGATCTGCTCTGAACATCTTAGACAACTAGTCCTCATTTAACAACCACAGTTGGGACTGGCAACTTGGTCATTCAGCAAAGCATTGCCAAGTAAAACCACAATGGTACTTACCATCTTACTTCAGTTTCTCTTTGCTTTACAGATGTGCAAAGGTCAAAAATGCAAGGACTGGTCGCTAAGTTGCCTTTTCATCACTATGGTAACTGAGAATGGTTGCTAAACAAGGTGGTTACTAAATGAGGGCTACTTGTATAAAAACCTATTGACAACTTTTCTCCACAAATCCTACTTTTAAATCTGCCTGCCATCATTTTTACAGGAGCATCAGTTAACTCACCTAGAAGGCCCATCTATTCCGTGCGGCCGGCCTGGCATAGTTTGATTATGTTTTAGTGGGGGTTTTGTATGGGGTATTTTAGAGACGGGCCTGTTATTTAATTTGATTTTAGAACAGAAACTTGCGTATATTTATCGTGGTTTTTATTATCGCCTGTTCACCGCCCTGAGTCCCGTAAGGGAGATAGGGTGGTATATAAATTCAATTAATAATAATAATAATAATAATAATAATAATAATAATAATAATAATAATAATAATAATAATAATAATAATAATAATAATAATAGTAATAACAACAACAACAACAACAACTCACCTGTCTGGAACCGTGACTTCAGCACATCAGGAGGGATTCCCACAGCCCAGTTGAAGATCCCTGCCATTCCTCCAGCAAAGAGTATTCTGGGTACACTGAGGTCACTGACACTGTGGGAAACGGGAGACAGGCAGAAAAAGGGCAAACGTGAATTCATCAAAAATGGCTACTAAAAAGAAATAGAAGAAAAGAAAGACTGGGTGCATCTCATTCAGACTCACAAGGGGGGAGGGCAAAGGTTATACAATAAGCAATTCCCTCAGGTAAAGTCAGCAGTTTTACTTCAAAATGGGCTGTACAGGTAGTCCTCGACTTACAACAGTTTGTTTAGTGGCTGTTCAAAGAAACCACGGCACTGAAAAAAGTGACTTATGACCATTTTTCACACTTATGCAGCATCCCCATGATCAAAATTCGGATGCTTGGCAACTGGCATGTATTTATGACGGTTGCAGAGTCCCGGGGTCAGGTGATAACCTTTTGCAACCTTCTGACAAGCAAAGTCAATGGGGAAGCCATGTTTACTTAAGAACCGTGTTCCTAATTTAACAACTGCAATGATTCACTTAACAACTGTGGCAAGAAATGTCGCAAAATGGGGCAAAACTCACTTAACAGCTGTCTTGCTTAGCAACAGAAATTTTGTCATAAGTAGAGGAGTACCTGAATTTGCCCAGCAAAGACTACTTCTTTGCCAGGATCTCTGTAGAAAAGGTTACTGCTACAACCACTGGCACATCAAGCTTAATTTACAGTACAACTGACTTATATTGTCAGAACTGGCCATTCTAAATCAAACTGCTAGATTCAGCAAGAAGCCAGGCTGATACCCTTCAAACTGTACTATGCTAAAAGAAGAAAATGTCCTTTTGCAATTTGTTGTTAGAATAAAAACTTCTAACTGTATGTAGAGTCATATAATCCCCGAGTTAAAAGCCTAATGTTTGGCATGAAAGTATTGAAATATAGCTGACAGTGGTTTATTCAACAAATTATATTTAATCAAACCATGACTTATCACAATATAGAAATCCAGTAATTCTGCTACATTATGATTCATGGTAGATTATGCCAATGAATCCATTAGCCTTCCTTACAAGATGCACTGACTTGATCCTGAAAAACATATTTTATAAATGCCAAATGATATTATTCGTAATTTATTTATTTATTTCTTAAATTTATATGCCGCCCATCTCAGTGCCAAGAGACTCAAAGCAATAATCCTTGGTTCATCTCATGAAACTATTATCATGAAGCTCTTAGTTCAGAATAAAACGAATTTCTTAGCTGTTCTTGTGAGAAATCCAGCATTCTGCTTACCTCTGCCCCTGAGGTGTCAAAATAGTTTTCAGCCATTCATAGGTCATGAAGTACATCCCACTGGCTGGAACATCTGGTCCAATAAACAGAGCCAACTTAGAAAAATGAAAGACACAACTGCAGAACTAGTCAAGAGACTCAATTGGCAAGGACAAAAAGGATAAAACCTGCCAGCTTTCTGTAAGCAGAATTATAATAATGGCCCAATGCACTCCACTTGCTACTTTAGACCTTGATTTGATTGACAGAGAAAACAAGATTTAAAGGACAGTCTCTTCTCATTTACACTGTATCTACCCTATTAGGGAAGAATGGAGCGGGATGGAGAAAAAGGGTCTTCTCTGTGGTGGCTCCCTCCCTAATGGAATATCATCCCCCCTCCCCGGGAGATAAGATTGACTCTCAACCTGATACTGTCCCAGAAGGCCCTGAAGACATGGTTCTATCAGCAGGCCTGGGAACCCCAAGTTGATACATAGCCGACCATGTGTCTGGTTTGTGTTTGTTGCCGCTGTAGCAGGGAAAGGTTTAGGAATTTTATACTACGGATTTTTAATGTTGTAAGCCAGGGGTCTTCAAACGTGGCCCTTTTATGACTTGTGGACTTCAACTCCCAGAATTCCTTAGCCAGGCACGCTGGCTGAGGAATTCTGGGAGTTGAAGTCCACAAGTCATAAAAGGGCCAAGTTTGAAGACCCCTGTTGTAAGCCATCCAGAGTCATTGTGTGTGAGTTGAACAATATATAAATATTGTAAATAAACATTGTGATAAGATATATAAGTACTGTTCACACACAATGTTTCTGTCATTCCCTGTCACAGTTAGCTGGCTGGACATAAGGTTAGTCACACTGGACTCTTTAATGTACTGACTATCACCTTCATCCTTGTAGCTAGTGAAAAGGAAGACTCAGTTTCTTTTGGTGTGTGGGGGGGGAGGATGAGCAATTTTTTAAATAAAGAAAATACAGGTAGTCGTTACTTATGACCACAACTGAGCCCCAAATTTCAGTTGCTAAGCAAGGCAGTTGTTAAGTGAGTTTTGCCCCATTTTACAATCTTTTTTACCACACTTGTTAAGCAAGTGACTGCAGTTGCTAAGTGAACCATGCAGTCATTAAGCAAATCTGGCTTCCCCCGTTGACTTTGCTTGTCAGAAGCCAGTTGGGAAGGCTCTAAATGGCAATCCCATGACCCTGGGACAGGGATAGGCAACCTTGGCTCTTTTATGACTCGTGGACTTCAACTCCCAGAATTCCTGAGCCAGCCATGCTGAGGGGAAAGGGAGAGGTTTCCAAGCTGAGCCATGCTGGCTCAGGAATTCTGGGAGTTGAAGTCTACCAGTCATAAAAGAGCCAAGGTTGCCTACCCCTGCCCTGGGACAATGCAACTGTCATAAATATATGCCAGTTGCCAAGCACACAAATTTTGATCATGTGCCCATGGGATTGCAGCAACGGTTACAAGTATGAAAAATGGTTATGTGTCACTTTTTCAGTGCCATTGTAACTTCAAACAGTCACTAAATGAATGGTTTTAAATCGAGGACAACCTGTAGAACTGTGGTGGTATGGTCACAAGCAACCTCCCATGGATAGGTCTGAAGGGCCCTATCTACCTACCTCCCATTTCTGTTCATTTTTTTTTACCCTTCTCCCCATGTGTCTATAGTTAGTCAGAATGGCAGTAGAAAAGGGATCTTAGGAACATGGGGTTGAGTATATCTGGGGCTAAATCAAATTCCTGCAGAGTTAACTGGCTGAATGAATTCAGATCTTCAATTCAAAATCTGATTTAATTCAGCCAGCTAACTCTGCGGGGATTAGACTTGCATGATAGGCTAACCACCGCTCTATAATTATCTTGTCAAGTGCATTATGTAATCAGGGTTAAAAAAAAAAACATTTTTTTGGGGGGGGCTTTTATAGTTCCACTATTTTAAGAACAATTCTCCACAACTACCTCTCATGAGTGTGAGCACTGTTCCTTTGTACACGCCTCGAATGCCAGCTTCACGATACAATTGTTTGGCACAATCCATGGGGCCCGCATATTTTTTTTCACCGGAGGCTGCTTGGATCTAAACGGTTCAAAAAATAATGGCCTCATCAATTATAACACACTATTTCTTAAATTATTCAGTCTTCCTAAATCTAAGCTACTGTTGAAATGAGTCTGCACATGTAAACATTTCCTAAGGAATCGCCCATGAGATGAGATTCAATCAGGAGTTTGTTGATTATGCACCAAAATGGTAAAAATTGGGGGGAAAAATAAACCCATAGCTGCCATCTCTCCCAGAAAGTTTTTCTACCTGTTTAATCACCCAGAGCAGGCTTCTAACAGCTCTACCCATTCAAGGGGACTGGAGGCTAAAACATATAAGGAAAGGTTGCTGGAATTGGGTATGTCTAGTTTAATGAAGAGAAGGACGAGGGGGGATATGATAGCAGTGTTCCAGTATCTCAGGGGCTGCCACAAAGAAGAGGGAGTCAAGCTATTCTCCAAGGCGCCTGAAGGCAGGACAAGAAGCAACGGGTGGAAACTAATCAAGGAGAGAAGCAACCTAGAACTAAGGAGAAACTTCCTGACAGTTAGAACAGTTAACCAGTGGAACAACCTGCCTCCAGAAGCAGTGAATGCTCCAACACTGGAAGTTTTTAAGAAGAAACTGGACAGCCATTTGTCCGAAATGGTGTAGGGTTCCTGCCTGAGCAGGGGGTTGGACTAGATGACCTCCAAGGTCCCTTCCAACTTTATTATTATTATCATTATTATTATTAAGAAGCCCCAGTAGAAACGTTTGTGAAAAACATTATCCATAATTGTAACTGGGACTTTGTCTTTGTCATAGCGAGCAATTGTTGTGTATTGAGAGCCAGTTTGGTCTAGTGGTTAAGGCACCAGGCTAGAAAGCAAGAGGCAGTGAGTTCACATCCCACTTTAGCCATGAAAGCCAGCTGGGTGACTTTGGGCCAGTCACTTTCAGCCCAACTCATTTCTACAGGGTTATTTGTTGTTGTGGGGAAAATAGGAGGAGGAAAATGTGTTGGATATGCTTGCTGCCTTTTTTGTCAAAATAAAAGTGGGAGATAGATAGATAGATAGATAGATAGATAGATGATAGATAGATAGATAGATGATAGATAGATAGATAGATAGATAGATAGATAGATAGATAGATAGATAGATAGATAGATAGATAGATAGATAGATAGATAGATAGATAGATAGATAGATAGATAGATAGATATAGAATTTGTTTTACAACTCTGCTGGTCACTTTACAACCAAGACACTTGCTTAATGACATTTCCAACTTTGCCTATCTTACTTCTCTAATTACTTCTGTGCTCCAGCTTTAGCCATCAGAGAAATCTTAATATCACAATGAAACAATGCTAGGGAAACTGGAATACTGATAGCTACAGGAGATAAGACTGAAATTCTGAAATTTGAGCATTTTTATCTCCCCCACACATAATACTTTAATCTAAACAATAATAATAATAATAATAATAATGATGATGATGATGATGATGATGATGATGATGATGATGATGATGATGATGATGATGATGATGATGATGATGATGATGATGATGATGATAAAGTTGGAAGGGACCTTGGAGGTCATCAAGTCCAACCTCCTGCTCAGGCAGGAAACCCTACACCATTTCGGACAAATGGCTGTCCAGTCTCTTCTTTAAAAACTTCCAGTGTTGGAGCATTCACCGCTTCTGGAGGCAGGTTGTTCCACTGGTTAATTGTTCTAACTGTCAGGAAGTTTCTCCTTAGTTCGAAGTTGCTTCTCTCCTTGATTAGTTTCCATCCGTTGCTTCTTGTCCGGCCTTCAGGAGCTCTGGAGAATAGCCTGACTCCCTCTTCTTTATGGCAGCCCCTGAGATATTGGAAGACTACTATCATGTCCCCCCTCGTCCTTCTCTTCGTTAAACGTTTGCATATATTCTCTCTCTCTCTCTCTCTCTCTCTCTCTCTCTCTCTCTCTCTCTCTCTCTCTGCGTGCATGCATACATACATACATACACTGACATGGGCATATCAAAAATTTAGAAAACCATGTTGTCAACAAGATTATGATTGTGAATATGCTCAACTATCCTAAAGAAGGATAAATAAAGAACGTGGATAGGAAGATGTTGTTCAGTTGTGGGATGGAGCATGGAAAGGTTCTTCTCTTACCTGTAGTAGGCATTTGATCCTTTCTCCTGGTGCCATAATTGCAGTTGTAAACACTCCCGATAACATTCCTGCTGCAAACAGCTGAGGATATCTATATAGAGTGGACATTACATTTTGGGATATAGACTAAACATAAGAATGATAATGATAATTATGATGACAATGACGATGATAATTATAGAGATAATAATGATAATGATGGTAATAATTATGATAATGATGATGATGATGATGATGATGATGATGATGATGATGATGATAATAATAATAATAATAATAATAATAATAATAATAATAATAATAATAATAATAATAATAATGGAGGTCATCTAGTCCAACCTCCTGCTCAGGCAGGAAACCCTATACCATTTCAGACAAATGGTTGTCCAATCTCTTAAAAATTTCCATTTGTTCCATTGATTAATTGTTCTAACTGTCAGGAAATTTCTCCTTAGTTTAGGTTGCTTCTTTCCTTGATGCACTAGGCTATATTAGATACAGTTTAAGAATAATTTCTCCTTCCAAAGTTCCTTTTCTAGAAAAAAAATTCCAGCCAACAATTAAATAAAAAAAAGAATATAAAGATAGTCCAATCTCAGAGGTGAAAGCTCCAATTATGTGCCATGAAAATCAATGTTCTCAGGAACATTTGATTATGCCATTATTATTTTTTTCCATTTATATCCCAAACAGATGCCTTAGAAAGAGCCAAGGAGTGGTATTCAGAGCTCTAATTTCCTCCAGCTGGTCAAATTCAGCCAAAACAGACATGGGTCAAATAAATATTATGGTTCAAGATTTTTACCTCAAGTATCAATACAACACATCTAGGCAAATGCAGCCAACAAAGCAGAATCATTTGCAAAATAAATCTAATGTTTTGTATAAAAACAATGATATTTTTTTTAAAAAAAAAACCTTATGTTTTCTAAACAAAGGTAAAGCTTGGAAAGATCAATCCATTAGTGATGGATCTTTAATTAAAGAGAATGATGTTATTGTTTATACAATGCGCTATAGTTTATGAAACTGAGGAAAGAAAGAAGAAAGAATGGTTCATGTACCATGTTAATTCATACTGCTGAATATATATGCATTCATAGGTTGTAGGACTCAAGCCACAATGATTTACAAACTATCATTTATATAGTCTATGAACTGCCAAGTATTGTTTATTTTAGAAATAGTGGCTTGGCATTATGAATGAATCCAGCATCGTATGTCTGCCTATTTAGAAGACATGGTGGCACAGTGGTCTGAATGCAGTGTTGCAGGCTAACTCTGCCCACAGCCAGGAGTTCGATCCTGACCGACTTAAGGTTGACTCAGCCTACCATCCTTCTGAAGTTGATAAAATGAGGAGCCAGATTGTTGGGGGCAATATGCTGACTCTGTAAACCACATAGAGAGGGCTGTAAAGCACTGTGAAGCGGTATATAAGTCTAAGTGCTATCTCTGTCTGTCTGTCTGTCTGTCTGTCTGTCTGTCTGTCTATCTATCATCTTATCTATCTAGTTTACCTCTAGTAAAGAGGAAGAAAGATATAGATATATAAGCTGGTTGGAGAGAAAGAAGCAGATGAGATATGTTATTAAAAATAGTCTTCGAGTTACAACCATAAGCCCATCATGGTCATAACTTATGACAGTCATAAATTAGGGTCATCCGTGTGACTGACTAAATTTTACGACCTCTTTTGTGGCAGTCATTAAGTGAAAGCCGCTGTCCTTAAGCCAACCAATGGTTCACTATGAGTCAGGTATTGCTGAAAACTAGAAGTAAATGCTGGTTTTCGGCAAAACCATTGTAAAATGCAGTCATGTGGCTGCAGGATGCTGCAAACAGCCATAAATGTTAGCCAGGGTGAGTATTAGTACCGCTTTATAAAACCCTAGTGAGATCACACCTGGAATACTGCAACCAATTTTGGTCACCATACTACAAAAAAGATGCTGAGACCTTGGAAAAAGTTCAGAAAAGAGCAACTAAGATGATCCAAGGCATAGAGACTAAAACATATGAAGAATGGCTGCAGGACTTGGGTTTGGCTAGTCTAAAGAAAAGAAGAAATAAGAGTGACATGATAGCAGTATTCCAGTATTTGAGAGGCTGCCACAAAGAAGAGGGGGTCAAATTATTCTCCAAAGCAACAGAGGGCAGGACAAGAAACAACGGTTGGAAACTGACCAAAGAGAGAAGCGACCTGGAATTAAGGAGAAACTTCCTAACAGTGAGGACAATTAACCAGTGGAACAGCTTTACCCCCAGAAATCGTGGACACTCCATCACTGGAGGTTTTAAAGAAGAGACTGGACAGTCACTTGTCTGAGATGGTATAGGTTCTCCTGCTTGAGTGGGGGGCTGGACTAGAAGACTCCAAGGTCCCTTCCAGTTCTATTTTATTCTAACTGCAGTTGAGGGATTTGAGGAGTGTGAAGGAGGCTAAGAATACTAGCTCAGGAAAACCTTATCTGACAAGTACGGGCTAAGAATGTATTTACTGCCAGAGTAGAATAATAGAATAATAACTTTATTGTCACTTTGAATGTACACATGGGGCTAAGAATGTATTTACTGCCACAGTAGAATAATAGAATAATAACTTTATTGTCACTTTAAATATACACTAATCGGCATACATTAAAATGAAATTTCGTTGCATACAGTTCTCAAAAGGTCACCACCTCCAATATAAACTATATAAATATGACAGAAATAAATAAAAAAATACAGAATTATGCATATACCCACATATATTATATGACACAGAGAAACAACACAGTCTAGTTCAGATTATGTATACATGTGCATGGCGAGAAAAACGAATCTTGCAAGTTTACCAGATGGATGGCATAGGAAACAAAGCTATTATAGAATCAGGTAGTCCTGCTAGAAATTCTATAGAAACAGACTGTAAAGTGGGTGTGTGGAGTCTCTAACAATGCAGACAAGTACTGATTGACTATGGATGCCCTGTTGAATCAAATGAAGCGATTTATAAAATTATTTAAAGCTATTTAATAAAAGTCACTTTGCTTCTTTGTTTAAATCTTAACCAAATCACCATGCTTTCCTTTGAGTTGCCCACACAGAACAAGATTCAGTATCAAGACAGACAGAACCTCTAGAGTTTTCCAACAAGATTCAGTTTATTTTTAAACAACAGAAAGAAAAATATGGTCACAATTAGGATTTATGTCAAATACAAATGAAAAAAGAACTTGGACAGTGTTGCAAATCCTAATCTACGGGATTTAGGCAGTGAATCTGGCTAAATACATGTAACAATATCTGAAAGCTTCACAGTAATAATCTTATAATCTCAATGTTTTATATGCTTCTTGAATACAGTGATGAATACATGACTATGAAAATTGAAACAACATATGCTGCATCTTGCAAATATTGTTCCAGAAACTAACACAAATATGAGTGCCTTTATTTTCCAAATCCTCTACAGACAATCTACTTGAGCTGAAGGCACATCTGGAATTTGCAGATAACATGGGGAGTGCATTCATATGTCTACCATGATGTGCCTGATAAATTATTAAGAAATATGTGGTATTGTGTTGATTGGAGGATGAGTTAGCCCTCCAGACTGCTGCCTATGGTCCCTATAGCAATTTTGCAGTATTGAAAGATATTGCTACAAATCAATAAGACGGTAGAAGTTGATGCTTTGCAGTAAGTCAGATGCCAATATTATGGGGAGAAAACTAAGCGAGGATAGAGAACCTGGTGGACATCAAGGGAAGTATCTGAGAACACCCCGATGCCTATCCCTGAACTAGATGGGAGATAAAGACAAACAAAATTCTTTTATCTCTTTGTTTTTATAAAATTTTATTAAACGTCCTTAATCAAACTTCAGCTACTCAAAAATGCCATTTCACAGAGAACAGCATGCCTTCTACGATCATATTCATTCAGAATTAAGTCCTACTCATTTTACCAGTCCTTTTTAATTGTCTAAAAATTATAGCCAGCTAACCAGGACTCTAAATGCTTGTGTGGAAGTACCTCTTTTTTAAAAAAAATAATATTTAAGTAAGTATGTAGGGAAGTGTAGACAAAGCAGAATGGATTTTTGTAAAATCTGGTAATTCCTTATGATCTAGATCCGTGGTGGCGAACCTATGGCACACGTGCCACAGGTGGCACGTGGAGCCCTCTCTGTGGGCACGTGCACCGTCACCCCAGTCCTAGGCCTTCAGCTGGGTTTTATAAAACCTTTTCGCTTTAGGCCTCTGCCGCCGTGTGCAAAAAAAAAAAAGATTCAATCAATCAATTTCAACTTCTAACAGGAAAAAAAAAGATCTTGCAAAGTTGGAATTGATTGATTGAACTTTTTAGTCCCACCCAGTCTGCCGTTACTACTGAAGCCATGCCCACCCAAAGGGTCACACCCACCCAATGGGCCACGCCCACTCGGCACCCGATGATACGTGAGTTTTGGGTTGCAGTTTAGGCACTCGGTCTCTAAAAGGTTCGCCATCATTAATCTAGATGTTGATGAGAGAGAACTGAAAATGTGCTGGGCAGATGGCTAATGTAGTGAGGACGAGTGATGTACATCACAAAAGTGGGCCTTGCAGAATAGTTATCATGCCATATAGATGAGATTTTTATATAGGTGGTCCTTGCTTAACGACCATTCCTTCAGCAACTGCCCAAACTTACAATGGTGCTGAATGGGATCTAGCACAACTCGCCTATGACCACCTCACCATGGCCAACTGGCCGCAGCCAATTACCCATGGGACAATTCAACACTGTATTAATTGTTTCATTTGGTTACTTTTATTATTAGTGACTACGTTTTTGGGAGGGATATAAGGGATATAGGCCACATGATCGGGAAGGTTTTAATGTGTTTGAGCAACGTGGTGGAACTAAGGTAACATACGACCGACAATCTTGGGTGGCATGGCGAGTTTCTAGCTGTTTCGGAACTGTTGCTGAGACTGTTAAAAGTCGTTGGTGCTGTTTGAAATTGTTCTGCCGGCAGCAAGATCTGACTGCTGGCCCAGCGACGGATTCTATTACAAATCAGAGCTGTTTCCAAAGGAGGCAGAGGACGAGAGGTCCCGGGGCTTATGGAGTAAAGGAACTGGATGAGGCTGTCGGCAGGCCCAGAGGAAGAGAGAGAGGCTTTTGGAGGTGGCGGCGGCAGCAGCATGCTCCAGGGGCAAAAAGAAGCAAGGCCTCTTTAAGGAAAAGGTGGAAGAGGCAGGATCAGAAAAAGAAAAGGAGGCAAGATTGTTGTGCAGGAATACCAGCTAATTTGAAGGCTAATTCACATGGAGCTCCATTTCCATCTGTCCTTTGCCATTGTTCGCTCCCTAGAGACTAAAATGGACGATTGAAACTTGAGCTGGCCACAAACAAGGAGTGTATATCGGAGGTGGCAACAAAATTTCATTTTGATGTATGCCGATTGGTGTACATTCAAAGTGACAATAAAGTTGTTGTTGTTGTTGTTGTTGTTGTTGTTGTTATTATTATTATTATTATTATTATTATTATTATTATTATTATTATTATTATTATTATGTTTTCATCAAAATCAATGTAACTCTTGTGTATCTGCATTGACTTTATTTTATTATACGGTACAATTGAAATTAATTTAACTCTTGTTATTTGTTAAATTGTCCCACAGTGAGTTGTCCCGCAGCTAGTTGTCCTATGGTGACTGGTTGGCCGTGGCAAGTTGTCTTATTCTGTGCTGAATGAGTGGGTGTCATGTTTATGATGGTCACAGTATTCCCCACAGTCATATGATCACCATTTGCAACCTTCTTTACATTTCCTACAAGCAAATTTAATGAAGAAACTGGCAGAAGGAATAAATGCGACCACATAATACCGTGTTTCCCTGAAAATAAGACCGGAATATTTTTTTTTGCCTCCAAAAATGGCGTCAGGTCTTATTTTCGGGGTAGGCCTTACCTCACCTCCGGCACCGACAGCCCCACCCAGCCAGTTCACTTCTTCTGGGGCCAAAATTCTGCAGCTGCATTCGGGCCTGCATTTTGCAGTCAGCCTTTCCAAAAGGCCTAAGCAGCCACGTACCGAGGTATGGATTCAATCTATAGCTTGGTGCTTGGCTGCTGAGGTCTTACAGAATCGAGCTACGGGTTGAATCCATAGCACGGTTCTTGGCTACACAGGCCTTCCGGAAAGCCCTGTGACTGAAAAATACAGGCCTGGCTACAGAAGAGGCCTCCGAAGAAGTGGGCCAGCAAGGAGAGGCCTGGCTGCAAGGTAAGTGGGTGCTGGGCAGTGGGGCAGCTCCACCCCCCTGACCCCTGCCCTAGCTTGATGTTGAGGTGTGTGCCTTGCCCCCAAACTAGAGCTTATTTTTGGATAGGGCTTATATTAGACCCACCTCCCAAAATCAAGATAGGGCTTATTTTGGGGGTAGGCCTTACTTTTGGGGAGACACGGTATCCTTACTTAATGACTCACGGTGATTTGCTTAATGATAGCAACTGGAAGTGCCAGAATTTCCACTGCTAAGCAGCATGATTATGTGATGTCGCATTTAGGACCATGTTGCTTAGCGACAGAAATTCCTACTCCAATTAATGTCGTTACATGAAGACTTCCCGTACTCTGAATCACTATGAAGAGAAAGCGTTACAAGCCTTTTAGGATGTACACCATACTGAAGTAAAAACCTCCTGAATGGCCATCTGTTTTGCCTGGGAAGAGAACTACACAGAAACAACCCACATAATGTCTGTTTATAGCTAGTGTAATCAGTCCCACGTTTAAAATTTGCCAGATTTATTTTTTTTAATTAAAAAACTCTATTTGTAACCAAGAAAAATAAAACTTCATTTTGGCTGCAATGATGGAATGCGTATTTTTTTTTTTTTTTTTAAAAAAATAAGAGCAGATTGGAAAACCTCAAGAGCGCATCCCTGAAATAGTCTGAACAATTTCATTACTCACGTCAAGATATCATCTGGGGTCTTCTGTTGCAGCTTTTTGCCCAAGCCAAATCCAAAAAAGCACACAGCAAACATGGGAGTGACTCCAACAATGGGGGCTGCCATCCCCTTATACAAGCCACGGACACCCTGTAGGAAATAGTAGGTCAGTATATTATTTATTTATTAAATGTAGATGGTGGTTGCTCATCTCAACCACAAAGAATAAAATGGAATTTCTGTATGACTCATATACTGTAAATAGAAGCCGAGAAACCAACCTATACAACATCAAAGATTACTTGAAGTTTCTGCCCAGTTCAAAGGGATCTCAATTGTCCAATCATATAGACATCTTTTTCCAAGATTCCACTTGCAGAGGTGGTTTTTTTTAGGGTAATCCAGTTCAGCTACTGCAACACGTGGGATTGCCTCTAAAGGCATTCAGAAACTGCAGGTGGTATGAAATACAACAGCCTCTGAGCTAACTGGCATTAGATGCCATGAACATACTCCTCCAGTGTTGCAGAACCTGTGTTAGTTGCCAAGCTGGATGCAGTTTGAAGTTCTGTTTTTAACGTACAAACCTTTACATAGCTTGATGCCAGATATCTGCAAGGTTGCCTTCTTTAACCCAAACCCATCCATCTCATACAAACAACTCAGAAAAAACTGTTACTCCTCTCCCATTAATTAGTGATTAGAAGAACCAAGGTGAGAAGGAGAGGCTTCTTTATCACAGACCCCAAGACTCTGTAACTGCTCACCAATACAGATCAGTCTAGTCCAGGGGTAGGCAACCTTGGCTCTTTTATGACTCGTGGACTTCAACTCCCAGAATTCCTCAGCCAGCCATCTTGGTTCAGGAATTCTGGGAGTTGAAGTCCACGAGTCATAAAAGAGCCAAGGTTGCCTACCCCTGGTCTAGTTCTTTCAGGATCTAGAGAAACAGAACTCTTCTGGAGGATTGTTTCAGCTAGTGAAGATGGTAGGTTAGGAATTGTCCAGATGTTCCAACTGAAATACAGGTAGTCCTCGACTTACAGCAGTTCATTTAGTGGCTGTTCGATGTTATATCGCCACTGAAAAAATAACAGACTGTTTTTCATACTTACGATCATTATAGTAGCATTTCCATGGACACGTGATCAAAATTCAGACGCTTAGCAACTGACTCATATTTATGACCTTTGCTGTGTCCCAAGGTCATGTGATCACCTTTTGCAACCTTCTGACCAGCAAAGTCAGTGGGGAAACCAGGTTCACTTAACAACTGCAGTGATTCATTTAACAGCTGTGGCAAGAAAAGTCATAAAATGGGGCAAAACTCACTTAACAAATGTTTCACTTAGTAGCAAAAATTTTGGGCTCCATTTTTGTCCTAAGTTGAGGACTACCTGTCTTTTAATTTTTATGACCATTTTTATTATTACTATTTTATTATATAATAATAATAATAATAATAATAATAGTAGTAGTAGTAGTAGTAGTAGTAGTAGTAGTAGTAAAGTTGGGAGGGACCTTGGAGGTCATCTAGTCCAACCCCCTGCTCAGGCAGGAAACCCTATACCATTTCGGACAAATGGCTGTCCAGTCTCTTCTTAAAAACTTCCAGTGTTGGAGCATTCACCGCTTCTGGAGGCAGGTTATTCCACTGGTTAATTGTTCTTCTAACTGTCAGGAAGTTTCTCCTTAGTTCTATGCTTAGTTCTATGCTTTTGTAAACCATTGACAGTCATAACTGTGGTGGTTTAAAAGATCAAGATGCATGAACCCAAGGCATACTCTGGCTTGGACTTGTAAGAATAAATCATGATTTTTTTAAGAACAAAGAATTCTTACCTTTTAAACACTTATGCCTAAAAATTGGACAGCTTCCTTCCGTCTCACAATTAGTTAGTTTTTCTCATTGAAAAAAGATCAAGCTTATACTCCAAGAATGTATAAGTGTCAAGTATCATTCCCACACAAATTCATTCCAATAATATACATAAAAATATGACATGTCTGGCAGGCACTGCAAGTGAGGTGGCAAAATACCTCTTTCACAAGAGTCTTTCTGAAACAGTCAAAGGTCCCAGCATAAAGAGGAGCCTGTCCTGGCAAAGGTTTCGGCTGAGTTTGTAGTCTGACCTACAAAATATAAGGAACATGAAAGGAATACAAAAGATGTGTTAGTCCATTTATTAGGAGACAGGTTTCAAGTGAAAATATCCATCCACATCTGATTTAATCACCCATTCCTCTTCTTTTCCAAGAAACTCAGAAAACAGTCTCATAATAATACGAACTATTGGTCTGTCCATCACAGTATATCCAACAATGGTCAGCAGCAGCTTCAAAAAGTTTGGGGAAGTATGTTTTGTGTTTTTTTCCACCTTATCTGGAGATAGAGAATTGAACCCAAGACCTTTGAAATCTACTCTACCATTGGCAGATCTGCCCTTCCCAATTCTACCAGTTACTTTTTAATGAAAGGGGGAATGGAAAAAGGAAAAAGACACAGTGCACCTGAGAAACAGATGAACAGTTGTTATCAATAGGCATTCAGATCAATCAGAAGATCTCCAGATCTAAGAAGTAAATAGCATTTTTTTTCTATTAGGATTAGTACAAATACAAAGCCTAAATACAGGTAGTTCTCAGCTTACAACCATTCATTTAGTGACCATTCAAAGTTACAATGGCACTGGAAAAAGTGACTTATGACCATTTTTCACACATAGCCATGGCAGGATCCCCATGGTCACATGATCAAAATTCAGACACTTGGCAACTGACTCGTATTTATGATGGTCGCAGTGTCCTGGCATGATCACCTTTTGTGACTTTCTGACAGGCAAAGTCAATGTGGAAGCTAGATTCATTTAACAACCATATTACTAACTTATCAACTCTAGTGATTCACTTAACAACTGTTAAGTGTCGTAAAATGGGACAAAACTCACTTAACAACTGTCTGGCAAAACTCACTTAACAACAGAAATGTTGGGCTTAATTGTGGTTGTAAATCAAGGACTACCTTTATGGTATCTCCTGAAACACAGAAGAAATAGAAAATATAGAATGCTACCATAGTAGCTTTGCTTCTAGATGAAGAAGCATGAACAATCATAAGCTTGGCATTTCAGCCTTGGGCTTCAGCACTCGGAGTCTCTGTTGGATTTGTTTGGGGGTCCCTGTTGGATTTGTTTGGGAGGGGGTAAATGTGTTGTTATCTGGAGACACTGTAAGTTCTTGTTCTCTTTTATAATTTCATTATATTTTCTTTTTTGTTTGGTTTTCTATACTCCACCCAGAGTCAGTTTGGAGTTGAGCAGTGCCTAGGTTGAATAAATGAATTAAATGAACAAAACAGGTGCCATGGGGGACATAACCAATTAGAAATTAATGACTTACTATAACATTCTCTGAATTCCCACTCCTATCAACCCTAGTTTTTGTTGTTGTTGCTATTGTTTTGGTGCCTTCAAATCAGTCTTGATTTCTGATTAATAAATTGATGAGTCCCTGCAGTTTTTTTTAGCAACATATTCAGAAGTGATTTTGGTGCCAAAGAAGGTATCCATAAGCTCATCACCTATCCCCCAACAAAATGGTAACTTCCACCTATAAATCTTTGCCTTTGTATTTACAGAATATATTTTCAAGTATCCTTTATCTTACCCATTTTTTTAATACAAGCATGACAATAAGGACAGTATCTGGAAGATATCTGAAGACTGACTAATAAATCTTTGCAAAGATGCATGTGAAAACATCAGTGTTGTCAGAGTGTACTTAGCTCCAGTTTTTTATCATTTAAATCTGATACACAAAGAAAGCTGTATATTGAATAGTTATAGCATTTTAAGATCCAACCTTTTCATATCTGTATAAATAATAAAAAGATTTGTTAAGTAGTGGTTCCTAACAGACCATGGTCCGGTACAGGGGTTGGGGACTGTGATCTGTGTTAATTTGGAATAGCAGACCATCTAGGAATGTCACATTTCTCTGCTTTTATTCCTGCTTTTTAAAAAAACAGAATCACATTTCACCTTTTTACTTAGTTTAGGCTTCACTTTTCTATTCTGGCAAATGTTCAAGGATGATTCCCCCCCCCCCTTCTGTTTAATCCTGTCTGATTCTCAGAGCCTGCCTCGACAAGTCCCTGCAGTTTTCTTTGCAAGGTTTTTAGAATTGGTTTGCTACTGCCTGTTTCTTAAAATAAGAGAAAGTGGCCCAAGGCCACTTAGCTGGCTTCATGCCCAAAGTGAGAATAGAACTCAATCTCCTGGTTCCCAGTTGATGCTTTAATCTGTACACCAAACTGGCTCGCTCAAGGATTACAACATAAAAAAATAATAATCTCTTACATGCCAGAAGGCAAAAGGGCGTCTCCTGGAGATCTTATCAGCTGAGGACAAAGGTGGTCCCTTAGATAGCAGGATCTACAGCTGTCTGAGGCTTTAAAAGTCAACTGCAACATCTCCAATTATGCCCTGCAAACTATTGTGCCCAGCAATTGTTTCTGACCTAGAGACTCTTGTGTGCATTATGCCAGCAATTGAATGGGCATGCCCATCATGAGACTAAAATGGGTTAGCTACTCTGTAGCTTAGTGCATTTGTGATCACAGCCAAAGTAGTTTGGTTCTGATTCATCGTATTTGTCCAGTCCAAGCAATTAGGCTCGTTCAACAAACTATAGTTCACTGTTCCATAGGTTAGTCTGTTGCATTTACTCAGGATTATGAAGAAGAGTAATGATCCAAGAGTCCAGAGCCGATGTGCTAAATAAAGTTTAAACTTAGATTGGAAAAATATTCTCAGCTACAGAAGCTCAGAGTACCTTTGGACTATCACCAAAACATATACCCTTCTACCAACCACACAAGGTTGTTGCTGTAGAAAAAAAATATTGGAGAACGAAATGCTACTGTATACATATAATAATAATAATAATAATAATAATAATAATAATAATAATAATAATAATAGTAGTAGTAGTAGTAGTAGTAGTAGTAGTAGTAGTAGTAGTAGTAGTAAAGTTGGAAGGGACCTTGAAGGTCATCTAGTCCAACCCCCTGCTCAGGCAGGAAACCCTATACCATTTCGGACAAACGGCTGTCCAGTCTCTTCTTTAAAAACTTAAAATCTTGAGATCTTGTAGGAAAGGTGGGTTATAAATCTGACATGTAAATAAACATATTTTTAAAACTCTGTTCTTTCACATGTTTAAACTGGTGTCAAGTCTGTCCCTGCTCAGGAGTGCTAATTCTTTTCCTTGAGAAAAAATAATTCTGAGGCATCTTCCACAAAGAGCATTCTGGGAATGGTAGTTCATCGACCCTGGTTTTAAGTATGCCTCGCCTTCCCACTCGCGCAGTGTCTACCGGGGGTTGTAGTCCTTCCCCCCTCACCTTGATAGTATCCAGTGGGTGTCCCACGAAGACCAAACAGACGCCTCCGAAGCCACCCGCGAAGAAGTTTTTTACCGGGCTAATAGGTGCCTGAGGGGGCTTAGGTTGTTCCGCCATGGCTGCTTCGGAAGCGAGATCGCTCAACGAAACTCTCCCAGCTTTTTGCTTCGCCTCTCCAAGCAACCTTTACCCTGCTTTTCCCTCCCCAACCAGGCGGAAAAAAGGAGAACCTCCGAGATGCCTAGAGAGGCTGCTATTGTTCCTGCTTCCGCCACCCGCGATCTATACCTTCCGTGGAGAGAGTTATATTAGCAAGTTATTCCATAACAAGATGCTGATCTTTTTGCAGTTTCTATTGTTCCGTCTTAAATATGTGTATTGAATAATAATAGGAATAGAATAACAGAGTTGGAAGGAACCTTGGAGGACTTCTAGTCCAACCCCCTGCTCAGGCAGGAAACCGTATACCATTTCAGACAAATAGCTGTCCAATCTCTTCTTTAAAATTTCCAGTGTTGGAGCATTCACAACTTCTGGAGGCAAGTTGTTCCACTGATTAATTGTTCTGTCAGGAAATTTCTCCTTAGTTCTAGGTTGCTCCTCTCCTTGGTTTCCATCCATTGCTTCTTGTCCTGCCTTCAAGTGCTTTGGAGAATAGGTTGACTTCCTCTTCTTTGTGGCAACGCCTTAGATACTGAAATACTGCTATCATGTCACCCTACTCCTTCTCTTCATTAAATTAGACATTCCCAATTCCAGCAACCGTTCTTTATGTGTTTTAGCCTCCAGTCCCCTAATCATCTTTGTTGCTCTTTTCTGCACTCAATTAATCATTGGAACAGCTTATCTCTGGAAGTTGTGGGTATTAGACTCTAAACAGAACATCAGACGTTAGTAAAGTACTGTATAAACTGTTAAATGAAATTGTAAACCATGATAAATTCTAACCATGATACTAGAACTCTATATTAATTTAGTAGTATGGACAATAATGACCATATTTGGCCTTTTGGTGAAGACGAAAAATGACATTTTTCAAATTTGTTTGTTTTGCAAACAATAATAACAAAAACCCAGGAAGTACTAAATGGCTGGGGTTCGTAACATTGACTGGATAGGAGGATGAAACCAAAGCTAAGAAGTTTCTTGATTATCTCTGGCATGATGAGCAGAGTAGTCCTTCCCCCATGATTAATGTTTAGGATACTACTGTATGTGCACACAGTCACAACATTCAGTTTATCTGCTAATCCATTTTTTTCCTCTTTACTCAAGTTCTGATCTGCCTTTAGAAAAAACTAAAGGCAAATATTGGGAACACTGGTAATTTGAAGAGATTAAAAGGGCACTCGTGTGAGAAGCTAAGCTAAAATATGTAATATACCAGCTCTCTTTGCATAGTATAAATGAAATATAAGGTCCCAGTCCTTTACTTAAACTTGAGATACCATATCAATGTAATCAGACAACCCAAGTGGAGACTTCTTGATCAAGCAGCACTTTATTTGATCAAATTAAGCAGCTGGGGGGGCAACAATCTGGAACGCTGGCAGAGTTACGTCCAGAAGTGCCACGCATTAGAAAGTTGGTAGCATTGCTTTATAAACTTTGTTAGCCAATGAAAATCAGACAACAGAGCCATTACATCATAAGAAAGACATCAATCATTCCTGTACACTTCCTTAATCCCTCCTTCAGTATATCGCATCCATGTACATGTTTCCCAAGCTTGCATGAAATTTCTCTGGTGCAAAAGCTGATTACAAAAAGCAAGAAAGCAACAGTTAGACTAAACAATTTATCTTTGTTCCAGAACTCTTCATGTTGATTCAGCTTTCTACACCAATAACTCGTAAGAATTGGATTTTTATGAACTGGCCATTTTTACATTCCTCCTAGTCAGAACAAAGAGAGAGAGGCTCCCACATTTTTCTCATGCCCCATATATTTAGTCAGCAGAGCAAATTAAAAAGAGCAAACATAATGATAGGATCAGGGTTGGGGCAACTGAGTCCAGCACCTTTGTGGGTAGGCTTAGCAGAAAGATATTCCCCATTTTTCATGGCTTCTCTATATATGGTGTGGGAAGGGACCCTTGCTAGTTTTTGGACTGTAAATGTGATGGTGGACAGATGTACTTTCAGACTTGCAAGATTCTGTTGATGTACAACAGACAAAAGTGGAGCTAGTTCCGCTGGGCATGTTTCCTGACTGGTCTTGACTGCCTTACAAGGCTGACATATAGCCATAGAGAGGGAGAATTTGGAATTGTAGCAGAGAAAAGATTCATAAAAAGCCTCCTTTTTGCAGTACCTTTATAGCACATCCTTTTAGTCTCAGTAGAAATAAATATTGGTTAATCCCCAGTTTGATGATACAACCATTATGTTAATATTCAAAACTGGGGTTAAATTTAACCTTTATGGGATTAATAGGCTGGATGGATGACATGCTAGCTTGCATCCCATGTATTAACAAGGATGTTATGCAAACAAGGCCACTGGTAGCAGTCTGTAAAGCCAAGTTAGGGAATTACTACTGGAGCAAACTGTTGTGAGCCCAGGGTTCCTAGGATGAAAGCTAGATTGGGAGGGCCAGAAAACATTCGCTTCCATGATGTTGCAAACAAAACTGCGCAGATGTGTCACAGCAGCCAAGGCCTATTTGAGGGCTTGTTCACTTAAAACAGTGGTTCTCAACCTGTGGGTCGGGACCCCATTTGGGGTCGATCGACCATTTCACGGGGGTCGCCAAGCAAGGCTGTCCGCCATTTTTTTTTCTCCGCCATTTTTTCCCCTTTTCCGGCGGGTGCCTTACCTCCCTTGGGCTGGGCCAGCTGGTGGTCGGCCTGCTCCGTCTCTGCTGCTTGCCAGCTACGCCTCGGCCGGCGCAGGGGGCGGAACCACGCATGCGCGGCGCTCCCGGGCAGGGAAAGTCCTCGACTTACGACCAGTTGGGTAGTCCTCGACTTACGACCGGTTTAGTCCTCGACTTACGACCGGGTGGGGTCGCGGCATTAAAAAGGTTGAGAACCACTGACTTAAAACATGCTAAAGTTAGCTCTCTTATGTCTCTTTGCTGCTAACTAGTGGGCATTCTGACAATTGCAGCCTGAATGGTAACTACAGTACACAAATTAGAGCTGGAATCTCTGTACTGTACTCTAATAATAGAAACCTGTGGTGGTTAGTAGCAAACGAAAATTGGCTTGTGTATGCTCATAGTCTTTTTGTTCTACCCTTCCTTCTTGAGAAATGCGAGAAGATTAAAGCCATTTCCGGCTTTGCTTCCAAAGCCAAGTCTATCTTACAAGTTTTTTTTTATCCCTGTTGCAATGATGCCTATCAAAAAAATTGAGTGTGGGCATGACCCATCTGCTTCCTCTAGCTTGGGCAGATTCCAGCAACTGTTGCTCCAAGCAGCAGATATTGTTTTATTACACAATCTGGAGGGATGTCCCTTCAGACAGACAATGGTTTCCTTCCAAGCACTGAATTGAGATATTTACAACTGATGATTCATTTTGTAAATTGTGTAGGACTTCCTTTGTCTAAATAGAGGGGTTTAGTCATAGTGAGGACAAATGAGGATTAAATCACACAGTAAATATGTAAAGAGTGAAAGGACCAAGAAAGGGCAAACCAAAAAGAGGTGCATATTAAAGAACCAAAGGCAATGTATGAAGTGGTGTATGAAGGAGGCAAATATAATTTGGAAGGCTAGAAAGATGTAGAGATGTATAGTGAATGGTGTTGACATAAACTAGTTTTAGTAATATGTCCATGCTTGCAATTTGCTTGACTTGCTATTTTTTTCCACACTACAAAATATTGCCTACTAGAAAACTGAATAAGCTGATGGCTAAAATTATGCATGCAAGAGGTATCGGTGAAAAACTTCCCTTGAAATTTCTGTCTTTTCTGTTTCAATTATTAGTTATCTCTCTAGTAAATTTCATACCCACACAGCTTTTCCTTGTTTTCACAAGGAAAAAAGAAAAAAACCATCGGGGAGCAAGGAACATACAGAGAGATATATACATATAATTCAGATATTACTCAATTTCATAACATGTATTTCAAGCTAGATACAGAAGCAGGGGTCCTTGGTGCTCTCTGAGTTTGGTTGTTTTCCTGCAGATGTTTCATTGTCTAAACTAGGTAATATCATATAGCATTGATGATATTACCTAGTTTGGGTAATGAAATGTCTGCAAGAAAACAACCAAGTTCAGAGAGTATCAAGGACCCCTCATTTTGACCCTGAGCTGCAAATATTCTCCTTTATTGGTACATAACAGAATCAACTTGCACAAAATAAGCAAGTTTGTATGTTACTGATTTTACTATTTTCAAAGCAGAATTTGAATGGTTTCTGCAAGGAATCTGGTAATGTTAAACAATATGAACACTATACACACTTTGATGGCATTCTAAGTATTTTAGTATCTGTGCCAGGAAGATAGAAATACAATATACAAAGTAGTTGTGCTGACATGAATTGGCTCTGCTTTTCAAATAAAACAACAGCTGCTGATTGTGTCCAATCTGCTTTAAGGATTAAATCTAGAATAGCACATGGCATTTGTTCCCATTGGAAAGAATGATAAAGTGAGAACTCTTTTGCCACCTAATGGCAAACGTTATTGTAGGTTAGCTGTTTAACACGTGAATTGAAGATACAGGAAATTTGTATTTTCTGTGCTAAAAATGTCAGATTTTGCAGCTGCAAATTATTTGCCCAGTGCAGCACACCTGTCACATTTAATAATAGATGGCTACATCGCTCTCCTGAAGAGCAATCAGACCAAATCTTAGTCTGTAGCCAACAGCTTAATGCAATGTTTTCTCAATCTTGGCAACTTTAGGCTGTCTGGACTTTTTCGCCGAGCCCTGAAGGCGCATCTATTCCGTGCGGCCGGCCTGGCGTAGTTTGATTATGTTTCAGTGGGGGGTTTTTTACGGGTGTGTTTTTAGAACAGGCCTGTTATTTAATTCGATTTTAAAACAAACTATTTATTTATTATCGTGGTTTTTAGTATCGCCTGTTCACCGCCCTGAGTCCCGCAAGGGAGATAGGGTGGTATATAAATTTAATAAATAAATAAATAAATAAATAAATTACCAGAATTCCCCAGCCAGTGTGCTTGAATTTGCTAAGGTTGAGAAATATTGGACAAAGGATTACAGCTGAGACCTAATATAGTAAATATATACAGATGGAGATGCCAGGACATGAATGGATGAGGCTGAGATAGCCAATTTTGTATCATATGTTCTGGATCAGCCAGTTAGATGGGTCTGTATGTTAGAATGTTTGGCATTTATTGGGTTAAGCACTGTCTCCTTAAGAGATGGCTTATGGGTAATGTAGTTTAGCTGTTCAGTGAAGCTTATGTTAACAGATCAGTAGGAGGGGCTACTAAGTTCATTACAGGATATCCTGGCTACGTGCCAGGCTGGAATGCCTTTGTCTGAAATAAACATGGGACCACCGGAGGACACACACAGTCCTACACACAGTCCTAATCCACGCTAGATGTGATGTGAAGGAATTATTGATTTTTTACTGTTCTGATCCTGAACTAAGATGCTTTGTAATTCAAGCCCAGACAGATGACTCAATAAAGATAATTGTAAAACATATTTATTCAGGAATACTTGGTCAGAACTCACGATTTCTGTAGTTTCATCTGAATGTTGCATATATGTTCATCCTTATAGGTAAAAAACCAATAATTCCTTCACATCACATCTAGCGTGGATTAGGACCGTGTGTAGGACCGTGTGTGTCCTCCGGTGGTCCCATGTTTATTTCAGACAAAGGCATTCCAGCCTGGCACGTAGCCAGGATATCCTGTGATGAACTTAGTAGCCCCTCCTACTGATCTGTTAACATAAGCTTCACTGAACAGCTAAACTACATTACCCATAAGCCATCTCTTAAGGAGACAGCACTTAATCTAATAAATGCCAAACATTCTAACATACAGACCCATCTAACTGGCTGATCCAGAACATCATTTATACATTTACTCTGTGAGTAACCCACTTGTCCATCAATTCCATATTGGATAACACTGCAAAGTTAACATCCAAAGTTTGTGGAAACTCCATGGATAGGATGGAAAAAAACTGCCTCCTTTCACTATCTTGCTTCCCTGTTTCACTGTGGTTGGGAGTTGATTAAAAAAAAGGGGGAAAAGATAGTGACTAGAAAAGTCATTTTGCATCCTCTAGTTTGAACACCCATTTATATTCACATAGTGTATGGATATTAGCATAGCATAGCATATTCACAGCATGCTAAACCAAGGTTTAACAATGGATTATTGAATGAAATAGAGTTGGCTATTACACAAATTATATTAGAATATGGCTTAACGTGATGCATGAACCCAGGAAATAATAGCGGCTGGGAAACAGGAGGGGAGAAACCACTGTTTCATATCCATTTTGTTTGTGAACTTCTGTCTAACTCCTATGAAGAGAGAAAAGATGGACCAGGCAGAGTTTTAATTTGATCTAATCTGTATCTTTTTATAGAAGTTCCATTGAATTAAATGGGACTTCCTTTTGAGCAACTCCTGTATTAAGGCCTTGCAAAGCATTCAAGGTTCATCCCACCAAGTGTGCTGGTGTGATCAAAGGACCAACTTGTTTCTTTGAAACCAGAGAAACCACCTCCTCTCAAAGGCTTGCAGTAGTGCTTACAGAATACAGAATAACAAAGTTGGAAGGGACTTTGGAGGGCTTCTAGTCCAACCTTCTGCTCAAGCAGGAAACCCTATACTATTCTGGACAAATGGCTGTCCAATCTCTTCTTAAAAACCTCTAGAGATGGAGCACCCACAACTATTAGAGACAAGCCATTCCACTGGTTAATTGTTTTTGCTCTCAGGAAATTTCTCCTTAGTTCTAGGTTGGATCTCTCCTTGATAAGTTTCCATTGTTTTTGTCCTGTCCACAGGTGTTTTGGAGAATAGATTGGACCCCCTCTTCTCTATGATATCCCCTCAAATATTGGAAGACTGCTATCATGTCACCCCTTGTCCTTCTCTTTGTTTGGCTATACATACCGTCAGGGCTTTTTTTGTCATAGAATGCCCAGAACGGAGTTCCAGCACCTTTTTTGGATGGAACCTTGTAGGGTAGGCAAGGCGGGTTGTATAACATGTCAGTTCCGGCACCGTTTTTTGTTTTTGTTTTTTACAAAAAAAGCACTGCATATCGTTCCTGCAAGCGTTCCATGTTTTAGCCTCCAGAACCCTAATCATCTTTGTTGCTCTTCTCTGCACCTTTTCTAGTCTCAACATCTTTCTTTGTATCATGGTGACCAAAACTGGATGCTTCAGGGACCTTTCCAGGCCATTTGTGTGTGCGCATGTGTAGTCACAAGGTTCCCTTGGGAACTGAAGGGAAAAAAATGGCTATGTAAGTGCATGCATGCAACATTGTCCCAGAGGCTCTCAAAATAGCCATGCCTGGGCTTATGAAGGAGATAGTTGCCCAGTGCTTTGAGGAGGGGGCCTTCACTCTTGCTCATGGACTTCATAAGATTCTCATTCAAATGTTTTCACAGCTCTGGTATGTGTACAATTGAGCAGAATTTACACAGGCTTCTAAATAAAAATGTAGAAGTTATTTATTCCTCTACCCTCCCCATCCTGGAACTATTTCAAGGAATGTCCTTCATGTAAGTGATGCTCTGACTTTTGCTGATCCTAGCTAGGGAGGCAGCTGTGTCCTTCCTGCTTGGAGTGCCAGTGTGCCAACAACAGACATTTAAGACTTCAAATTTAAACATTTGAATGGCCACAGCGCTGTACTCCAAAATTATTGAATAAACACCTGAGTTTATGAAATACATTCAACATAAGCCATACCTTAGAAATCACATTGGCTGAGTTCACGGAACACAATTGGTAAGTTCACATAGTATTCTTACAGTTCATGTAACCATTATTTACTCAATCTCATTTTCTGGATTTGCATGACCCAGTTGATTGACTGATGACCATAAACTGATCGTGAATCATAACTTGCATTGGTTGAAATTGCATCATATGCTAGGCTGAAACGTGTTTAGCTAGTTTGTGGTTCAATGTATCATGCAATTAAGTGTAGTTAAAACCACTTTTATTTGGTTACTTGATGTTCCCAAGAATTGTCACTCTGAAAGGGCACCTGTATGCCAATCTTTGGACACGATGGCTAGGACTTTGGGAAGTGTACCCATAGTCCAATACTTATGGAGGAGGAGGATCAGGAAAAACCAAGATTTTTGTTCACTCAACATGCTCACTAGCTAAGTTAGTGATCCTTGGTTATGTTTCCTCTAGCTTAGCATGTTTTGCGAAACTAACCCATTTGATGAAAAGTTCAGTGTGTTGTGCAAACTATTCAATAGCCAGCTTCAGCACGCACGAACATGGAAGAATCTCTACCAAGCCTAAATTCATGCGAACACGTGACTTTAGTCCCATTATTGAGACTTTACCATTCCTGTGATTTTGGGAGGACTCGACGCTTCCGAACCGTTTAGGAAAACACACTTAAGGGCCGGACTCTTGTTAATACCCCCCTCCCCGTTTCATTTTATTAATTCGTGGCACCCATACATTTCTTTTATAAGGCCGATCGCTTTGGAGCTGATGAAAAACGGCGTTCCTCACGTACACCGCCACGTCCAAAGTGGTTCAGCCCAACAGCTCTCTTCACTCCGGCTGGCGTTGCCTCTCAACCCTTGTAACTCCCCCGCCCGACGCTCTGGGCCTTCTTGCGTTTCTCCTCCTGCCATTTCTAGCGGCGGAAGCGACGCTCCGCGAGGGACTGCAGCTTCCGGTGCTCAAGCCATAGAGGGCCGGCTAGAGATGGAGAAGCTTGGGGGAAGGTGATTTTTTTTTTTTCCCCCTCTCCTTTTCCCTCGCTCCGGGTTACACCCGCTTTGGTCGGCGGTGCAGCGGCCGAGGCTCTCGCTCTGAGGCGCATCCGAAGGGGCGTCCAGTCCCGCCCGGCCTTCTCCCCACTTTGGGTGAGCGCGCAGAGAAGGGGAGCCGGGCCTTGTTTACATGGAGGGAGGGGGGATGGAGGAGGCTCTCCCTTTCCTGGGGCTGCGGCTCCCTTTGGTGGAATTGCAGGCGGGCTAGTGGGCTAATTGCGGGACAGAAGTGGCCCTAGTTCCCCCTGCCTTGACTCCCGGACCTGGAGGCCGAAGGAGGAGTTGGGAAAGCCGGGTAGCAATTGGGGGGGGGGAGGGCTGGGACAAATCGCTGATTCTCAACGTATCCAAATTAAACAGACTTTTGCAGGGAGCTTTCTGGGACTTTTTCGAAGATTATTGGGGGGGGAGTGATAGTGGGAAAAGCCAGTTGTGGGATATAGCTGGGTTTGGGTTTTTTTTTTTAAACCATGCAGTAACTCTCTACCCAGAAAAGATTCACATCGCTTCTATTGTCCGAGTGACCTTTAATAGTAATAAGAGTAAAATTCTAAATAAGAGTAAAAATCCTATAATTCTTAGCTGCTTTGTCTACTACCAAGAAGCTGAGTTACTGTGATATCAGTGTAACCTGCTTTAAAACGAGGTCCAAATGCAACTGCTGCTCAAAGTGTAGACTAGGCAATACATGTAATGGTGAAGAGTTAATTTACTTTTTAAATGTGCAACAATGGTATTGTTAACTCTTATCCACCATTTTTCTGCACCAGCACAATTTGCAACATGGTGTGGGACAATTTTCTTCTTCCAAGATGAACTTTGACTTGGGAAAAAAGTTCAGAATGCTCCAAATTTTGTGCCAGGATCGCTTTTGTGAGCTTTCTTGTTGCAACTAACTGCCATTCAGCTAAATGTCATTACTTTTATAATTTCTTTAAAGAAATGTGCTGGTTGCGAACTTACTGAGTGGGTAAAAAGATGGGTGACTACAGTGAGAACTGCTACAATAAAAAGTTATTGATTTAATTTTAAAGCAGCAGGCTATTTTGTTGAAATGGTTCATCTGACTATTTTTAAATTAGTCTTGGCTTTATACTTTAAAAACTAGTTATTTCAAAATATAGTATTTCTGGACAACATTTTTTGATTAATACTACATTATGTACTATAGTATACAAGTTCTTTGATAACACAACTATAGCTTTTAAATGAAGTTGATTCAAAATGGTGCTAGCCGAAGAGGCAAAGAGATTTAATTATTAACAGCATTTCCTGTTGCTGTTCGGCCAAAAAAGGTTCCTAGGGCATCCTACAGGAATTTATTGTGTAAATATTTGTGCACACAAAATTACACTTTTCTTTTTGCTGTATTGAGACATTATAAATTGGGTTTCTTGCTCTCCAAGAAGATTTTAAAATAAAAGCAAATGCTGATTAAATGCACTATGGTGTACCAGAAAATACATCTGTCCTTCCAAGGAAAGTCCAGTGTTACTGTAACACGCAAAAGCAAGAATCTTAGATGCTTGAAATGAACAAATTTAATATTTTATAAGTTTTCATGGTATTTCCTGGGTTCATCAACAGCTTAAATATATTTGGGGGAAGGAATGATGAAAAGGAGCACAAAATAAAACATTCTGCCTTATATTTTAGATTAAAAATATAGTCTGAATGTAAAGTTAAAAGAAAACCTGGCAGGCACTAATAGACATTGAAAAACTGCAAGGACAGTAGTGAAGGTCATTAAGAAATCTTCCAATTATGTATTTAAAGGATATTTTGAATACCAATGGGTGTTATATAACTTAGTAGTTAATAATGGGGAATATTAAATGCCTCAAATGCATTTTTGTGGTTGTAGTAAATATTTTTCAGTTTACAAATAGTCCAGAAAACTGTAGATTTTAATTTAATTTTGCATTGGAATAATATTTTAAGGAGGGAAAAAGGCTAGCTGACAGCACTGAAATGTTTTTCATGGAAACAGCTGGGAATTGTTGGTGAATATATAGATACAATTAAATCCCAATGAGTAGAATTATACTTTTTATCAGCCCTATATGGCATGTTCCAATATTGGAAGTTTCTTTAAACTTCTTTGGAATTCAAAGTTTGATCAAACAGATGCAGTGGAAACAGGAAAATAAACATGATAAACTATTGCCTTCTTGTTTGAGATTTGAAAAGTAAGATTCTTTGACAATACTTCATAGTAACTTACAATGAAATTCTCAATTTATGGCATTTTGGTATTGTGTAGATGTAGAAGTAGCCATAGAGCAGATGTTTTTTTTTTAATGCAGTAAATCTAGGGTGCCCATTCAGTGAATTTAGATATACCATCATTGCAATACATTGTAGATATTACTGAAACAAATGACATCTAGAAAAGTCCCTGGGTTTATATGAGATAGCCGTAAGTATAAAAAATGTAAGGATTTCTGTTTGTAATCCATGCATAAGGAATCCTTTTTCAAAAGAGCCCCTACCATTATCAAATTACGAGACAAACATGAGTTATTTTGAAAAGTCTTCAAACAAGTCCTATAAACATGGTTATCACTAGATGGAGTACACATACTTTGTATTGACTATATTATTGGTAGAAAAAAGTAGAAGAGTACAATTGTAATAGGAAAGATATGGTCAGAAGTTGACTATCATACCAAAATTTGTGCAAATTCCACATCAAATTATAATGGAAAAAGAAAGCCAGACAGTTTACACAATATAATCTTGAGCATATCACCACAATTTTCAAAGAGAACATCAGGAATAACTTTGAAGTCCTGAACCTCATTGACGGAACCATGGAATGAAGTCAAAAAAAGTTATTAAGGTTCACTATAAAAAAAGGACTGCCAAAACCCGAGAAACAACAGAAAATGTCAGAACAAATAGTGAGAAATTTTGCAAAGTCAAAGCCAAGGAAGATTTAAGATTTCAGCAAAAGAATTTTAAAAATTTCAGAGAGATGAATATATGTATATTCAGACAGAATATCTGTAATGTAGTTGAATATGGAAATAGACATGGGAAAAACAAGGAAGGATTTTCAAAATATCTGATGGGGATTCCAATCTCAAATTGGTATGTTAAAGGATGCCAGTGGGCGGGTAGTAACTGTCAACAACTGCAATCAACGAAGAAAAGAAAACGTTTGACTTGGGTTTTGTTTTTTATTCCTTTTACTATTTTTTGTCTTTCTCGGTTTGCATCAGCAATATCGCTTGTTTCTCATTCTTTCCCCCAAAACCTGCCTGAACTTTATTTTCAGCCTGTTCACTGATTACAATGACTCAAGCTACATACTTAAAAAAACACCCACACACATAGACTCGCATACATCATGCATTAGTGTGTGTGCCCTGGTTGTGTCCACCAGTAGGATGGTTGCTGTAGGCTAGATATTATTACTATCCAAGTGGTAGGAGGAAGTTAAACTTTAAGGATGTTAATATATTATTGAATTATATCCCCAGATATGAAGGGCTTTGGATATTCTTGGGTTGTGGTAAAAGCACATATATAGGAATGTTCAAAGGTCATGCATCAAATGAGTAAAGGAATATTTTGAACAAAATGGCACCAATTCAATGTAATTTATAATTGTCTGGGCCCTGATTCTTCATGCATCTTTTGTATTCCTGAGAGGAGCATATTGGACTCTAAAAATTGCTTTAATGAAATTTATCAGCTCTCAAGTCTTTGAACTAGCTCTTCCTTGGAAGAGATGCAAAATTGAAGAATTGGATTTCCAATGGTCTAGATTTAATCTGTGTTCAAAAACTGAATTGCAGTGATTTATATAGTCCTGCCGTTACTATTTTAACCATTATTGAAAACTGCAGAAATTTTATTATCCTATTATATTGTTTCAAGCCTATTTTAGATTTATAGGTTGTATTTAAGTATAATTTTAGGCATTCAGGTTTTGTTGAATAGTATGGAATGAAGTTAGTGCCTTTTTCAACATTTTTATTTAACTTAGTAAAATATAGTTTAGAAGATACCTGTGTGCACACTAGATGTTATGTTGAGAACTCTGGGCCCATCATACATAATCAGTGGTAATTAGTAACATTAAAATTTTGTAATTAAGCCCTTGCTTGTAGTTTCAGATGAACACACATTGTCATGAGAAAAAGTAATGTTCACAGTTAACATAATATTCTTCCCGTGTAAAATATCACCTAGTTTTAAATTAATCTTTTGTTTTGGAAGTTACAGGTGAATTTTATCCTGTTCTCCCTTCCCTTCTACTTGGGGTTATTACTTAGACTTCATTGCCAGGCCCAGACAGAAATGTAAGAGAAACCCAGTTTAAGTTACTGCAGCTTCTGTGTGAAGACAAGAGATAACCTGTATGAGTGAAAATGTAGACTAAGACAGGTTTTAAGCCCTTGAATACTTTCAGTGTGGATGGTATAAAGCAGTGTTTCTCAACCTTGACAATTTTAAGGCATGTGGACTTCAACTCCCAGAATTCCACAGCCAGCAATGCTGGCTGTGGAATTCTGGGAGTTGAAGTCCACATGCCTTAAAATTGAGAAACACTGGATAAAGTATTTTGTGTGACAATCTTGAATTACTTATTGAAGGAATATAATATTGATATGCTGAGGTTTTCTTACTGTATATTTCTTATCACACATATAATTATATATGAAAATGTAATATCAACATTTCTGAGGTATCAACTTGTCTTTGGTTGTATATAGAATATTATAATTTCCCCTCAGAATAGCCATAGTATGGATGAGCCTGTTTCTTTGTTATGGTTAAGTTAATTTAGAATGTCATGAGGGTTCTCAACTGTTCTCACTATTTTTTTTTATTTTATGTTTTAATTTTGGCTGGTTTTTTCCTGTTTTTTTTCCTGCTAGCCACCAAGCATCATACATGTGTTTAATATACATTTAGGTGTATTAAATAAATTAAAAAAATAAGTGTGCTATATTCTAACCCTTTTATAAAACTGAATTGGGTAAAAAGGCAAACCACACGGTAAATAGATAACACATAGGTTTTAGTTATCTATTCAATGCATAGTTTTTCTCCCCCCCCCCCCCAGTAATCTATAATTGTGACTAGGTGCAACATCTTTAAATTAATTTATGAATAAGCATTTATGAGGGATATCTTGAAAAATATTGATACTACCAATGAGGACAATGGTATATCCAGAATTAATTAACCATACAGATTGCCTGTCTTGGTTGGTAGACCATGCTACTTAGAATGACACAAACAGTTCTGTCTATAGCAAGGTTAGTTCTTGGTAAAACATACTTTCATTTGGACATGGTGTCTACTTTTAGGGAGAGAGCTTTGCAGCCTCATGGTGCTTCTGGATTATTATTTGGTAATCTTGTGGCAGAAATATCTTAAGAGCCTCTTGTTCAAAATTGCTAACGTACCCACTTCTGTTTATATCACCTCTATTTTACATTACTGAGGGTGAAGTACTCTGGGCTTGCCTTTAAGTAATTTTGAAAGTTCAGTTGTCTGGCATATCATGGTCAAACTCTTTCAGGAGATATAGCAAAGATGCATATCCCACAGATCCTTGCATAAAGAAATATTTGAAACTCTTTTTGAAGTGACAACCTTAATCCTTTAGGTTTTACATGGTTAGAAGGAATGCTTTCTTTAATATTTTCTACCTTTCAGCTCATCCAAGTAGACTGCATGGGCATTGCTACTATCAGATTCTGCTATGTGACATCCAAGGCTTATGGCTTCCCAGTAGAGGCATTCTTCCTTCTGGCCAGCCATAACTTGTTTTTTTTTAAAAAAAAAAATATGGAAACTGCTTAGAAAGCTTTTTCTTGTTACACATGTAACTGGAGCCAGCTTGTATAGGTGATCATATTATAAACATACTGGTATACTCTGTTGATAGTTTCAGTTAAGGAATTTTATGGTATATGTATGCTTTTTGGCATGATGATTTTTTTGGTTTTGCTGGGAAGCAAGATACTTACCTAATAATTAGAAAGCAGCCTAAATTATTCAGAGAATGAGGAACTGAGTCACTGCATCACACTACAGTATGGATTTTTATAGCAGCACTGCAAGTACTGTTCCCCCCACATTTTCAGTAATTTCCTATGTAATGGGCTTAATGAGGAAGGGGAAAAAAATCAGATTAATCGTAGTTAAAAGGGTATTAGTAAACGAACAGGAGTTTGGTTAAGGATCCTTGTTTGGATGCAGAAATAATATAGCTGCAGCTAGTTTTTTTTAATAAAAGAATGATGATGTATGTCAGATGTAAATAACCGATTCTTTTACGTAAATTGAATTCCCCATAGGAATTGAATTGCTGTTAGATTCTTTGCTTATTAATCAAACTTGCAAACATTTTCCCCCACTCCCTTCTTCCTCGTATGTTCAATTTAGGTGGCAAAAAAGTCAGATGAAGTCCAAAGAACGATAGTACTGTATTGTGAAACCAGAAACTGTCATAGCTCACTTGCCTGGTGGCTTGGCAGAGCATTAAGATGTCTGTGGACATGAACAGCCAGGGTTCTGATAGCAACGAGGAGGACTATGATCCAAACTGTGATGAGGAAGAAGATGAAGATCCCGGGGACATTGAGGGTTACTACGAAGGGGTTGCAAATGACGTGGAGCAGCAAGGAGCAGATTCCTTTGATCCGGAGGAATATCAGTTTACCTGTTTGACTTACAAGGAGTCGGAGAGTACCCTGAATGAGCACATGGTCCACTTGGCTTCTGCATTAAAGGTAAGGAGTTCCGCAATATTTGACGAAAGTGCCCTTTTAATTGTTGCCCTTTATTGTTCCAAATAAAAATGCATGGGCTGTATCCAGTTCTCTTGTTGACTAGGAAGCTTTGAGAAAGGAGCGTGTGATTCACCTGTCCCTTATAACTGCTCTACAAGATTTGAGACCCAATCTGGTGACATTCTCTTCCCTTGTTATATATATATATATATATATATATATAAACTGTGAACACCAGGAGTATATTAAACTATACAAAGTTTAATAACATAAAACATAAAACAAAACTACACCAAGCTTTCGTCGGACTCCTTCCGACTTCGTCAGGGTTACGTGCCAGTCCATGAGAGAGTCTCTTTTATACGCCATCCATCATCTGCGCCCGGCTTCTGGACCTCGTCACCGGTCCCAGGCGATTGGG